CGTGGCTGGCGCCTTAGCCGGTTGAGCTATAGGCGCCGAGCCACAAGTTCAACCTTCTATGTGTCCTTTAATGTTCTTCTTTGAAGAACAGGTTTCAACAATCTCCTTTGGACTTTATGATTTTTAAGTCAACATCTCTAGCACTAACTCCTCTCCTGTGTCCCAGACCAATTTTTTACTACATTCTAAATATATCTAGCAGTTTGACCATTAAATTTCATACCAAAATATTTCTCTTATCTCTCAGATCAGCACTTCCATCTGACTACCCTATTTTTGTGTCTACCTTCTAGATCAAATAAAATAAATTTTAGGAAAATATTTTGAAAAATGAATGATTTGATAATTATTCATTAAAACTACCATTAATTGTAAATTCTATCAAATTATAAATCCTATTAATTGGCAACATGGGGCATCTGGTGGTTTTGGTTTTTGTATTTAATGTTTTTAGTGAGGCGCAGTGGCTGATGCCTATAATCCTACCCTTCTGGGAGGCTGAAATGATGGGATTGTTTTCAGCCCAAGACCAGCCTAAGAAAAGCAAAACCCCATCTCTACTAAAAAAGAGAGAGAGAGAGAGAGAGAGAATTTAGCTGGGTGTTGTGGCAGGTGCCTTATAATTGCAGCTACTCAGGAAGCTTGATACACGAGGATCACTTGAGCCCAAGAGTTTGAGGTTGCTGTGAACTATGATGTCACAGCACTCGACCCCAGAGCGACAAAGACTCTCTCTCAAAAAAAATAATAACAATGATGGTAATGATTTTTCTTTCTCTTTTTAAAACTGAAATGGAAAAGTTCACCATAAATTAAGTGCTTGTGGGACCTATCTATCCTAAAGACAAAATTGATACAGAACCTACAATCCAATCTATAAATACATAAATATGCATCAAAAAGGATCCTAAAATGGAATTTTAAATTTCTGTATGACAAAAGACCTGATAAACAAAATCAAAATGTCACAGATTAGACAAAACACATACAATCTGCATCCCAAAAAGGTTATTTACATCCAGAAGGTATAAAGAACTCCAAAGATGAAAATAATGCACATAAACCTGTAGCATATGTAGACAAATTCCATATTCTCCTTCCTCCATATTAGCCAGTAAGTAAGGCACATAACTGCTCAGCTAAAGAGAGTTTCCCAACCTTCCTCACAGCCAAGCGTGGGAAGTTCTAACCTACAGAATATGGCCAGAAATGACTGTGTAACTTCACCACCTGAAAGGAAGTGATTTGCTCTGAATTAAATTATACTCCACTTTTGGACAGACTGAAAAAGACATGACAGAAACTCATAAGCAACAAAGTCACAGAAGGCAACACTTCCTACATTTGGAAGAAACCTAGGTCTACGAAAAACCACATGGAGAAAAGAACATCAGCTGAGCCTGTCCACCCTCAAAAATACTACATGAAAGAAAGATTAATTTGTTTTAGTTAAGTACTGCTATACTGGGAGTTCTCTGTCATAGCAGTTTAACCATGCCCTATTTAATACAAAAAATGATATCAAGAGTAGGGAACTGCTACAACAAAACCTTAAAATAAATGTCTTGGCCATCTGGCCATCAGACACAATAGATTCTGAAAATTGACTCTTTTGTATACTATATTAAAATATTTGCTATAACTGTGACTTTGGAAAGCAGACTATGCCTACAGAGGCTGAACCTCTGAGGAAAGCATCTGGAATGAGGCAGAGGTTATTTTGTGTTGCCTGGTCTCTAGTGCGTTTGACAACCAATCATAGAAAGGAACAGAATTCTGCTAAAGAATCTCTCTGTCTGCCTATTATATCAAAGTACTATAAAATAACCATATGTAAAAATATCTTTATAAGCACTTCATTTCTACTCAAGAGAAGCCCAGAACATATGTGCCATTTTTGTACCATTCTTAATATTAGGGTAAGAGAAAAAGAAATGAGAAATGTAAAGGAGAAATAAGAATAGTGCCTTGAAAGTTTACATACAATGAGCCAAATGAGCTGAGTAAGGAGAAATTACATGCCTTTGGGAATACTTTCCTTCCAAAAGCCAGTGCCCTTTATCCCCCACTTCCAAATTGTTCCCTCCAATAGGTGTAACCTGTCTGCTTTCTTTTACTATGCTGCTATCTTCCACATGACTTCTAATAAAAAATTTTTCTTCTCCTGACAAAGAGTACAACAGTCTACGTTTTTCCCTTCTTTCCGTCCTCATAAAAGAAAACGTACAACACTTTTTAAGTTTTCTTAGGGAAGTTGCATTGCTTACAACAAAGGGGAAACAAGTACGACAGTGTCTGTTTCTCTATCTCTCAACTTAGAACCACAAAGAGATGATAAAGTTAAAGATAAATGTTAATAGTAGGTTGGTGGGTTTTCAGATACACAACCTTTCGATAACAGGTTTGCTGCATTTTAGAGGGTAGAAAACACTGCGAACATAAGGATTACTTTTTTAAAGAAATACTATCGGCTCGGCGTGTCGCTCAAGCGGCTAAGGCGCCAGCCACATACACCTAAGGTGGCGGGTTCGAATCCCCAGCCCGGGCCCGCCAAACAACAATGATGGCTGCAACCAAAAAATGGCCAGGCGTTGTGGCGGGCGCCTGTAGTCCCAGCGACTTGGGAGGCTGAGGCAGGAGACTCCCTTGAGCCCAGGAGTTGGAGGTTGCTGTGAGCGTGATACCACGGCACTCTACCCAGGGGGATAGCTTGAGGCTCCGTCTCAAAAAAAAAAGAAATACTATCAAGATTTTCTTCAGCAGCATATACTAAAAAACTAGAATGATACAGACAAGATTGGGATGGCCCTGTGCAAGAATGACATGCAAATACATAAAGTGTTCCGTTTAAAAAAAAAAAAAAAACTGTTTAAAAAAAGAAAAGAAAGAAACAGTATCAGGACCAAGCCTGACCCACAAAGAAGATAATAAGAGGGCAGGTTCTGAGAGTTCATCCTGTTCTCGTTCTTCTCTATCTATTATTAATATTGGCTGTGCCCATGATCCTAACCTGGATCTGCTTAAAGAAACAGTAGAGACACATGAATTTGCTTTTATTTTTGGTTAGATTTTGTTAGTCTTTTCTGCTTCAAAAGGGAAGAATCTTATGACTGCTTCCTAAGTAGGAGCTGTTCCAGCCACAGAACAGAAACAAAAAAGCTATCACTAAATATGTAAAACCATAGGTAATAACAAAACATGTCTTTAACCATCACTCTTAATGGCAGAATAAGTTAGAACTTACTACTGTCGAAATCAAGACAGGACAATTAAACTAGTGTTTGTGACTCTCTTCTCCTAGTCCTAGTCTTCAAAATATTAAGAGTTTGGCTGCAGAATGTGAAACAGACTGCTCTGACTGAAAATAATGCTGACCCGGAATCCAAGCAGATAAGCCATCCAGTAATGCTTGAGATGAAAGGACTGTGAATCCAGTGATAACTGAGAGAGTAATCCTGATGCTAGTAGTTGGTTATCCAGTTCATTACTAAAAAATGCACCACTGAGCACTACACTATGCTTTGCACAGAACCAGCAGCTAGCCATTCAACCAAGAAAACAGTCCAGGACTGGCTACTAGCCACTTTGCTGAGTTTCTGTCTTCCTTGAGGCAGAATTAGTTCAAACTGCCTGAAGTCCATCCAAAACTAGAATTGCAAGACCTTTTACATTTAAAAAATTTCAATGTGATGCCTTTCTTTGATCCAAAATCCCCACCATATCTTTCTCCTTACTTTGAACTTGACTTAAAACACAGACAATTCCACTTGATCACAAAATGCTCAAAAGCCAGAAAGGTAGAGAGCACTTTTAAAGATAGGGAGGTAGCAATTTTATCTGTAGCCACTACCTGTGGTTCATCTCTAACCACTAGGTGGCACATGTGCAGCGGTAACTTCACTAATCCTAGTAACATGGAAGTTTGAAAGAGACTGCATACTTTATTTAACAGCATCACCTATGTGCTAGACAAATTAGATCTACCCCTGCCTTTACATAATTATACTTCATATCTGCTTTTAAGCCTTTAATTTTCCACCTCTCATGGCTCTTATTTAATCCTAAATAGTTGATTCTATGACATGAAAAAGTTTAACAGCAAAAGCTGTTTGCTGTGTTAGTTAAAATCAAAGGCTTAGAAACTAACAGTCTAGAATTTGCATTGCCATATGCTAGCAACGTGACCTTGGCAAATCACTCAAACCTCCTCTCAATTTCACAGTATACTCATCATTTAAAAGATAGATATTAGGTTAAAAAAAGGTCTGATTTCTTGGGCGGTGCCTGTGGCTCAGTGAGTAGGGAGGGCACATGCCCCATAAACCGAGGGTGGCGGGCTCGGGACCTGGCCCCAGCCAAACTGCAACAAAAAAAATAGCCGGACATTGTGGTGGGCTATACCTGTAGTCCCAGCTACTCAGGAGGTGGGAGCAAGAGAATCACCTAAGCCCAAGAGCTGGAGGTTGCTGTGAGCTGTGATGCCACAGCTCTCTACCGAAGGCGACACAGTGAGACTGTCTCTTTAAAAAAAAAAAAGAAGAAGAAGAAGAAAAAGAAGAAAGAAAGAAAGATAAGTACTAAGTTTGACAGCTGATATCTATGACATTTCATATTGACACTTCTGACACTTCACACTGACACTTCTTGTTGTTTGACTTAATTGGGAAGGCACAACCTCATTCTTTCAAACACACATTTTGGTTTGTGATTATCTTTCAAAAATTCTTTTCAGAGCAACTTTTATGAAGTGATGGGTTAAGTCAAAAATTCATGTTTTTAGTGAGTATGGCTTCTGTTGTGGAACCAATACGATACAGACAGCTCAAAATATCAAGAAAGTGTTTGGGAAGTATGTGGCTAATGAATGCACAATATATCGATGGTTTGAGAAGTTCCCTTAAGGTGATTTCAATCTTGAAAATGAGCCATGGGGACAACCTAAGACCATGGTGGATAATGATGAGCTAGCTAAAAGCTGTACTAGAAGCAAATCCATCTCAACCAACAAGGGACTTAGCGGCAAGGTCTAACATTAATATCCCAACAGTACTGGATCATTTAAAACTACTCAGCAAGGTAAAAAAGGTGCATAGATGGGTTCTACATGAAAAGAGAAATCCTTTTCAAGTTTACCCCTTTTTTGCTGTCACAACATATAGAGGAACCATTTCTACACTGTATTGTTATATGTGATGAAAAATGGATTCTTTTAGGCTGGGCACAGTAGCTCACACCTATAATCCTAGCACTCTGGGAGGCTGAGGTAAGTAGATTGATTGCTTGAGCTCAGGAGTTCAAGGCTAGCCTGAGCAAGAGTTAAGACCCTGTCTCTATTAAAAATAGAAAAACTAAACAGCTATTAGAGTGTATGCCGGTATTTCTAGCTACTCAGGAGGCCGAGAGAAAAGGATTGATTAAGCCCAAGAGTTTGAGGTTGCTGTGAGCTATCATGCCATCCAGGATGACAAAGTGAGACACTGTCTCCAAAAAGAAAAGAAAAAAAGAAGATTGGCATAATGGGTGGATACAAATGAAGTACTGAAATACAGGACCTTGACGCAGCGCCATAGCTCAGTGGTTAGGGCCCTGGCCCATAAACACCAGGGCTGGCGGGTTCAAATCCAGCCCTGGGCTGCTACAAACAACAACAATAATAACAACAAACAGCTGGGCGTTGTAGCAGGCGCCTGTATTTCCAGCTATTTGGGACGCTGAGGCAAGAGACTCACTTAAGCCCAAGAGTTTAAGGTTACAGTGAGCTATGATGCCACAGCACTCTACCAGGGGCCACATAGTAAGACTCTGTCTTTAAAAAAAAAAAAAAAATGAAATAAAGTCCCAAACTTAATATTGATCACAAAAAGCTAACAGTCTCTGTTTGATAGTCCAGGGATGGCATTACCCACTACAGTTTCATAAAACTTGGGCGAATCAATTATAACAGTCTACTGCAAGCAACTGAATGAAATGACGAGGATGCTTGTGATTACACAGCCAAGACTGGTCAACAGAGACAAGCCAATCTTCTTGTAAAACAAACTGACACAGAAACAATGCTGCTCAAAACTACAGAAATTGGACTTGGAAACTTTGTCACCTAACATATTCACCAGACCCTGTATCAACAGGCAACAACTTATTCCAGGCTTTGGACCACTTCTTGGAAGGAAAAATACTCGATTCTGGACAATCTCTGGAAAAGGCCCTTTGTGATTTTAATGGCACATGCTCTCCAGGCTTCTTCACTGCTAGAATATACTAGCTACTGTTAAGATGGCAACACTGTATCAACAGCTTAGGTGCACAAGCTGGTTAATTATACCACTTCTTGTTTGAGATACAATAAATTCAATTTTTGATTCAAATTCAGACATATTCACATTAAATGACCTAATAATACCATCTAGTATAAAACTGTCTTCACAGGACCACACATCGTGGCTCACACCTTTAATCCTTGCACTTCAGGAGGCCCACATGGGCCCAGTATTGCTCAAGACCAGAAATTTGAGACTTGCCTGACAGCAAGACCCCATCTCTAACAAACTTGAAAAACTATCGAGAGGTGGTAGTCCCAGTTACTCAAAAGGAGAAGGAACCCTTGAGCCCAGGAGTGTAACGCTGTGGCTACCTGTGATGATGCCAACTGCACTCTAACCCAGGTAACAGACCCTATTTCAAAAAAGGGCCGAAAAAAATAATATATGAAATGCATTTAGTTCAATACCTTAAGTATGTATAGCAATGTGCTGTTAATATCTCCATGTATGTTCACACACTCTATTTTATTTATTTACGTGACCATCTCACCTACTGGTATCTAATTCTTGATGTCAGATCACAAATTATTAAATTGTACAATGGGAAGTAATCAGAATAAAGAGATCAATTATTTAGCTCCTCCTAGCTTCCTTAATCGCTGCAAAAAGGACCACGCTTCCTCTACACTAAAACTTCAAAAACAACCTATCTAGAAATTGTATAACCATGTCCATTCCTCCTTTTCAATAAGGAGGTCAAAACAATTCTGCCTTCAGGCTCAGTGCCTGTAGTTCAGTGGGTAGGGCACCAGCCACATACCCAGAGCCGGTAGGTTTGAACCAGCCCGGGCCTGCCAAACAACAATGACCACTACAACCAAAAAATAGCCAGGCGTTGTGGCAGGCAACTGTACTCCCAGCTACTTGGGAGGCTGGTGCAAGAGAATTGCTTAAGCCTGAGAGTTTGAGGTTGCTGTGAGCTGTGATGCCACAGCACTATACCAAGGATGACACAGTGAGACTCTGTGTCCAAAAAAAAAAAAAATCTGCCTCCTGACAATTATATTTTCTGGAAGCATTTGAAGCTTACTGAAAACTAATATATCCACAACATTAAAAATGTGGTGGAGGCCAGGCATGGGGGTTCACACCTGTAATCCTGACACTCTGGGAGGCTGAGGCAAGGTGGACTATTGAGCTTACAGGTTCAAGACCAGCCTGAGCCAGAACAAGACCCCATCTCTACTGGGGCAAAAAAAAAAAAAAAAAAAAAGCTGAGGCAAGAGGACCACTTGAGCCCAAGAATTGGAGGTTGCTGTCACCATGGCACTCTACCCAGGGCAACAGGTTGAGACTCTAACTTGGGGAGGGGGGTGTGTAAAGCCAAAATGCATTAGGACTATGTTAGAAACAAAAATCTATGACAGAACAAGACAGTGAATCAGAAGGATCATTCAGCTAAGCTCTCCTAGAATGACTGGGGAAAAAGAGAGAACCCAGCCATATCTGACATGGGGACCTTACTCAGAGTCATAACTCAGGGAACACAGTAAGGAGGTGGTGAGGTGGATACAGCATACGATCCAGAGCAGG